TGGGAGCCCCACCTTATCCACGGGCCAGCAGGGATAGTTGGCTGTGGCACTTGCAGGGGTTGGGGGGCAGGCTGCACTCAGGTGTACTCACAGGAGCGCTCGGCACGGGCAAACTGTCCCGCGACGATCCAGGAGAGTGCTGTGACCGCGGCCAGGGCCCCCACGTGCAGGAACGGTGCTGTGCCCTGTGTGTGGGAAGAAGTGCCAGAGGTCGGTGACTTCCAGCTGTGCTCAGACCATCTGTCACCAGTGTCCTCGAGCCTCCTCCCTCTATCTATGGAGCAGGCAAGCCTGTCTCCATTTGTCAACTATGACTCCCATGGGAGTCTCAGACCCTGGCTGCAGCATCCTCCCTGCCTCTGACCTGCTGTGGGACCCCGGACCTCCCTGCCTGTTCTGAGCTGTGTTCTGGAGCATCCTCCTACAAGCCCCGGGAAAGCAGCCGCGGCCCCATCGCCGCCCATGCTCACCTGCAGGGAGATCAGCAGCACCTCCCACTCATCTTCCCACAGCTGGGCCACGGCCGCCATGGCTACCACTGTGAACACCAGGATGACCACCAGCCCAATCTGGAGGGGGAGAGGTGTCAGAGGATCAGAGCAGGCGGGAGGACCCAGCATGTGTGAGAGGGAGGATGGAGGGAGAGACTGAGAGACATGAGGGAGAGCTGGAGAGAGTGAGAGGCTAACAGAGTAGGGAAGGGGGGGCGAAGGGGAGAGACAGGCATGGTGGAAAGCGAGGTGGAGATGGGCGGACAGAGGACAGGGAGAGACAGAGGTGGTGGTTGGCAACTCTGAGGGACACAGGTCTCTGGGGACAGATGGGACATGACCTTTCCAGGGGTCTCCCCTGAGCTGTGAAACAGACATCATGAGTGCCTACCTGGGAGGGGCTCGAGGAAGATAGATGAGAGAATGCAAGTGAAGTGCTTAGCAGAGTGGCCAGCACCAGAAGTAGCGCTGGCTAAACTTTAGTGGCATCATTCCTAAAAGCGGGGATGGCATCACGTGAACGGGGTTATGGTTAGAGTAAGTGAAATCCTGTGTGGGAAGAGCCTGACACATGTACGAGGTCTTCAACAAGTTCATGGGGGACAGTCCATGGCCTGGTGGTTAAGGGAGCGGGATCCCATATGGTCAACTGCATGGTTCCAGTCCCAGCCTGGCAGCTTGAGAGAGACACTGAGTATGTGTGTGCCCACCCCCATCCCAACAGGGTAGAGAAATGGAGAAGAGACTGGTGTGAACACACCCCGTTGGAGAGGGCTTTGTTCCACTCCCTCTCTTGTTTCTGGCAAGTGCATGTGCCCTCTGGCTATTCAAAATAAAGTTTGTGGTGGGGCCAGCAGGTGGCATGGGGATTCGGTGGTTCCGGGGCTGCCATTCTGGAGAGGGCTTTGTTCCACTCCCTCTCTTGTTTCTGGCAAGTGCATGTGCCCTCTGGCTATTCAAAATAAAGTTTGTGGTGGGGCCAGCAGGTGGCATGGTGCCTTGGTGGTTCAGGCGCTGCATTCCCACATGACCGGCCACATTTCAAGTCCCAGACCTGGTGACTTGAAAATCATACCATGTGTGTGGACACGTGTGCCCAAAATGCTGAGAAGAGACTGGAGGAGAAGGGATTGTGGCATGGCTATTTCCCCAGAGAGCGATTTCTGACTCCCCCTTATTTACTGTACCTCTTTTTTAAAAAAAAAATTTAAAAGAATTATTTTATTTAATGTTATTTATTTATTTTATTTTGACAAGAGAGGGACAGAATGAGAGAGAGAAGGTGAGACGGTAAGCCACCAGATCCGGAACTCAGACTGTGGTTGGCCATGTGGGAGTCCAGAGCCCTTAACCACCACGCCACCTGTCGGCCCCTCATGTGCATCTTCAAGGGTCCCCTTGCATAGTAAGTGCCCAGTAAAGGCTGATGAGCTCCTGGCATGCGGGAGGCTCCCAGTGAATGTGCCCTCATTAAGCTGCAGCTGGGACAGAGGCAGGACACCAGGGGGAGCTGTGGAGCCTGGGCCAGTGGTTTGGAGAGAGTCTGGATTCCTTGAGTGTGGACGAGGTGAGTTTAGGTGCTGACTGAACCTGATCTGGAGAAGAGTGCACCAGCCCCAGCTCAGCCAGTACCCTGCGGTGCAGTCATGTGGTACCTGGTGCTCCTCTTTGGGGCAGGGTGGGTCATTGATAGGCTCCTCCTCCATGCAGGCCCTGTAGGGAGCAGCTGCTACCATGGCAAGAGAATTCAGTAAGCTCCAGGTTATGTGTGTGTGTGTGTGTGTGGGGGGGGACAGCTGGGGAAGTGGCCTCTGAACTGGTTCAGGGGTGGTGGGCAGGGAAGGAAGGGGGCATCACAGAGAAAGGGCCTCTTATTTGCTATAAAGTCTTGGGAGAAACCAGAGACTCAAAACAAAGATATGATTAAAACAGTTCAAGACGGTAACATTTACAGGAGTGTGGTACTACTAGGAGACCAGAGAAACAAGCACAAATAAGCAAAAAGTTCACAAATAGATCCAATACATAAAAATTAGTCTATGATATAAGTAACATCTTGAACTAGAAGAGAAAAGATCGCTTACTCAGGAAAGAAAACTGAGAACACTGGGAAGCCATCTAAAAGAACCAAGATTGCACCCCACTCCAAAACAACTTCCCAAAAGATAAACAATCTAGGGGTCTGGACAGTGGTGCATCTCGTGTCCCTCTGTGAGGCTGACCCACATGGAAACGTTCCAGATTCATGCCCAGAGACCTCCCTGAGTATGCTGGGCATGCACGGGCCTCTGAGCAGAGGCTGGCTGAGGTGGGGGCGGATCAAAGTGTGAAGACCCATTGGGGTGCTATCTCTTTCCTTATGAAGGAAATAAAGGACAAACTTTACAAAAACAGTTAAAAATGTTAATGTTCATAAAAAGTGAAAACCTAATTACCAAGTGATATTACAGAGAAGTTTTTTTTTTTTTTTTTAATAAGCTTAGGGGGGGAAAGACTTTCTGACACAAAACCCAGGAGTCATAAAAAGAGATGACAGATTTAAATACTTAGGAATTAAAAAAAGATCCCTATGGCAAAAATGCAATAAGCTAAGTCAAAATGAATGACAAACCAGAAAGGATTATTTACAGTTCATTAGTCAAAGGACTCATTTCCCAAACCTATGAAGAACTCCTGCAAATGAATAAGCAAAAAGGCAAATTGCATGGCAAAAAAGGGCAAAATAAAAAATAGAGAGACGGTCTGTAGAAAAGAAAACACAAATGACTCAAGCATGTGAGAAATGCCTCAGCTAACTCATCCTGAGGGAAATGCAAATTAAAATTACAGTGAGGTACCATTTTTCACCCATCAGATTAAATCATGTCAATGTTTTACATGGTAAAAGATTAAATAACCAAAAAAAGAATAAGGACTCCTTAGAATCATAGAATCAAATGATAGAATCTTGGAAACAGGATAGAAAGTCCAGCCTGGCTACAATATTCTGAGCCTGGGAACACCCTCCCTCGTGGTGTAGCAATCCAGCCACAGATCAACTGTGCCCGGAAGGACATTCCTCCTGCTGAGATCTCCCAGAAGGGACCAGGGGAGAGAGGAAGTGGGACGGGCATCCCGTGAGCTGGCACGGTGCAGATGACAGGATCTGACTCTCGCATTGATCTGTCACCTCCGGCTGACTTGGTGGTTCTATAAGCCCCTGGTAGGATCAAGCGGGTGTGGCCTGACCTGCTGAGAGCTGGCAGGTCCTAGGGGGTACCATGGTGTATGTGTGCCAGCTCCACCCGAGGTGCCAGCTGGTAAGTTTCTTTCACAGAGAAGTTTTTTTTTTTTTTTTTTAATAAGCTTAGGGTGGGAAAGACTTTCTGACACAAAACCCAGGAGTCATAAAAAGAGATGACAGATTTAAATACTTAGGAATTAAAAAAAGATCCCTATGGCAAAAATGCAATAAGCTAAGTCAAAATGAATGACAAACCAGAAAGGATTATTTACAGTTCATTAGTCAAAGGACTCATTTCCCAAACCTATGAAGAACTCCTGCAAATGAATAAGCAAAAAGGCAAATTGCATGGCAAAAAAGGGCAAAATAAAAAATAGAGAGACGGTCTGTAGAAAAGAAAACACAAATGACTCAAGCATGTGAGAAATGCCTCAGCTAACTCATCCTGAGGGAAATGCAAATTAAAATTACAGTGAGGTACCATTTTTCACCCATCAGATTAAATCATGTCAATGTTTTACATGGTAAAAGATTAAATAACCAAAAAAAGAATAAGGACTCCTTAGAATCATAGAATCAAATGATAGAATCTTGGAAACAGGATAGAAAGTCCAGCCTGGCTACAATATTCTGAGCCTGGGAACACCCTCCCTCGTGGTGTAGCAATCCAGCCACAGATCAACTGTGCCCGGAAGGACATTCCTCCTGCTGAGATCTCCCAGAAGGGACCAGGGGAGAGAGGAAGTGGGACGGGCATCCCGTGAGCTGGCACGGTGCAGATGACAGGATCTGACTCTCGCATTGATCTGTCACCTCCGGCTGACTTGGTGGTTCTATAAGCCCCTGGTAGGATCAAGCGGGTGTGGCCTGACCTGCTGAGAGCTGGCAGGTCCTAGGGGGTACCATGGTGTATGTGTGCCAGCTCCACCCGAGGTGCCAGCTGGTAAGTTTCTTTCAAGTGGCAGCTTGGCAGCTGGGAGAAGAAAGTGCCTCACTGAAGGGACTGTGGACGCCCAGAGATCTCAGGATAGAGTGACGAGCGGAAGGGCTGCCTGCTGCCCTTGACCCCTCGATGACTCAGAGCACCAGACGTGTGTAATTAACTGACCTCTGATGCCCCCAGATGCTTGCAGGTACCTCCACTTCTCATGGCCGACCCAAGCTCACCTGACCCTCTTCCTTCTCCTGCTCCTGACCCCTCTAGCTGAAAGTGAGCCCCTTGCTCAGAGGCATTCTGGGCCCATCTTATGGTTGTAGCTGGAAATTTCTACCTTCCTAAATGGTACATATGCTCCAAACCAGGCTCTGGGAAAAGAGGCCAGCCCTCCTTCCATGGCATCCTGAGACTGGGAACTCTGTCGTGGCCACTTTGTACCAACCCATACCCACTGGGGCCTCAGAAGGCTGCAGGAATATATGTTCAGCACCAGCTGTGCAGAGAGGGGTGAGTGAGCGCGCTGGGGCCTGGGTACCTGAACCTGTCTGCCTCAGGCCAATCTGAGTGGGGCACCAGGGACAGGGAGGTGATGACCACCAATCTGGGCCTGCAAGGGACATCCAGCTGGGGTGGCTGGGGTCAGGCAGCCATACGGGAATGGACAACATGATACTTAGAAAAGAGCTCGGAGGATGCAGAGGCTGGGAGAGCTTGTGAGAGAAGAGAAAGGGTCCCAGAGAGGGAGACAGGGAGGGCAAGAGTGAGGGGCCACCCTAGGGAAGGGGCAGACACGCAGGAGGGCCTGGGACATTTCGGGCAGCAGAGGCTGAGGGGGACTGCCCATGGCAGGGCTGGGAGACTGGGCAGAGCCAGGTGGGGGAGTCTGGGGCCCCCTGGGACAGGGGTCGTGATGGGAGATGCTTTCAGTTTGGGAGGTGATGTGGCCAGGTCAGAGTTTGGAAAAGGGTTCACAGGGGACCAGCAGGTGGTATGGTGGTTAGGGTGCTGTATACTCCCACATGGCTGACCATGGTTCGAGTCCTGGACCTGGTGGCTTGTTTCTCCCCCTCCCCCTCACCCACCCTCTCTCTCTCTCTGGTCAAATTAAAATAGATGAATGAATAAATAAAATTAAAAAATAAAAAGGAAAAGGGTTCACAGAAGAGAGAAGAGGACGGTGAGAACTGAGGCGGAGCCAGCCGGAGCTCGGGGCTTTAGCACGAGCTGTGAGCCGCGCTGGTTGAACACATGGCCACAGGGCTGGGGTCCTTGGCAACTTACTTAATTTCCTTGGACCTCAGTTTTCTCAATCACAAAATGGGACGATCACAGTACCTGCACCAGAGGGTTGCTGGGAGGGTCCTGTGAGCTAATGCAGGCCAGGTGTGAGTGCAGTGCTCCGAGTCAGCCACTGAGACAGTTATAACCAGGCTGCTTCTCTGCTGTTCTGGCCTCCGGCCTCCCCTCCCTTGCCCAGCCTGACAGAGGCAACCCTTACCTTGTGCAGCCAGTGCAGGTTCATCTGCTGTCCCACAGCAATGTGACATAGTGCCAGCACCTGGGGAGGGGCCCACAGGGTGACAGTCAGACACCCTACTCCCCACGCTGATGTGGGCCTGACCCAGCACAGAGCTGGGCCTCTGGGTTCTCCCTGCTCCGGGATGGCTTGTTCAGGAGGTCACTGGGTCCTGCAGCATTTGGACTGCCCAACTGAATTCGCCAAATGTTTTGGGAGGTCCAGGCCTCGGATTCTGAGACAGACTTGAGTCTCATCCCTAGGGTTCCCAGTCCAGTGTGAGGTCAACCCGAGTCTCAGTGAGTGCCGTATTGGGAACAGGAACCAACAAGGAGGTTCCCAAAGACGTCTGCAATGGGTCCTGATGGCCAGGGTGGCTCTCGCCAGGTAGGAGGAGCAGCAGACGGAGACAAGCAAACATCCACGTGACCTCCTAGGTCTTCAAGGAGCAGCTGCCCAAGAGGCCCAAAAAAGGCCAGCTTCTTCCCTCAGGCCAGGGTGGGCCCGTCCGCCAGCCCTTCCCGGTGCAGCAGGGCCCCGCCCTCTGAGAGGCCTCACTTACCAGGAGGCCCGTGATGTATGTGAAGGCGGCAGCCGTGGTCACAAGGATGGGCACGGACCAGTCGCTCCAGTAGCCCGTGCGATTGTAGAGGTACCTGCCGGGAGGACAGGGACAGGGGTCAGACTTCCACTGGCCCCACCAGCCCAGGAGCTGTGATGGCTCAGCTCTCCTATAGCGGGGCGGCCACAGGCTGGGTCTGCCAACCAGGAAGGACCTCAGCATTTCCCTGCTCAGGGGTCATTTCCACTCTTGGAGACATCAGGGGCCAAAAAAGCATGAAGAAGAAAACCACTCCTGAGGGTCCTGCCGCCCAGAAGCAACTGTTACTGACTGTGCTGGATTTCCTTCCCACGGGCTCCCCACCCCACTTTGCCTACACAGCTGTACAAACGGCTGCACCCACTGCTTACAGGACAGGAGCCCTGAGGGCGTGCTTTGGGGAGGCTGCATTCAAATCCCACTGCCTCTTACTCTCTGGCAGGACCTGTGGAGGTTCCAGGCTTCCCGGATTCGAAGATTCTTGGATTATGACGTTTGTCTACATTTCAATGTCAAAGTACAAAATACGGGTCTTAGAATTGATGAAATGTTACACCTGACTTCTCTGAGTCTCAGTTTCCTCATCCGGAGAATGGGGACAAGAAGAGAACGCCTTTCGTGGGACCAGCAGATGGCATAATGGTTATGTTGCTGGACTTCCGTGTAGTTGACCATGGTTCGAATCTTGGACCCAGTGACTTAAAACTCAGGCCAGGCGCATGTGCTTACGTGTCCAAGGTCCCGAGAGGAGAATGGAGAAGGATTGCAACATGGCCACCCCCAGGGCTTATTTCTCACTTTCTGTCTCTCTGTCTCTCTGGCGCAGTGCACACACCCTAGAACAAAAATCTTTCTAAAATTAAAATAAGATAAAAAATAAAGAGAAGGCCCTTCGTAGGGTTTTGTGAGGATGAAGAGAGCTGGGGAACATGGCAAGTACTCAGTAACTCTCTTCACACAGGTATTTACTGATGTCAGTAAAGAACCCTGAGGAAATGTAATTGTTTTTCTTTTAATACCCACATGATCATCCATTGAATCCACGTACCATATGTAGCTAACGTATGACTAATGGCACATAATAGTTTCCAGTTATTCACTCTTATAAACAAACACAAAAAGGAAAAATTGGTACATATGTATTTGTGTGTGCGTGTCGGGGGAAATTAGAGGGCACATGCGTTTGCCTAGAGAGAGACAGAGTGGGGAGAGGAGAGAGTGCCCCTCATGGGGGCTGGCCATGAACAATCCCTTCTCCCCATGTCCCTGCTTTCAGGATTTGGGGCACGCACGCACGCACGTGCTTCTCAAGCCCCTGAGTCTGGGACTTGAACTACAGTTGGCTGTCTGGGATCCAGCCCTCTCAAACACCATGCCACAGAGCTGGCCCTTCATATTTTTCTGTTTTTCTGAGTATTTTCTTGGGATAGTCCTTCAAATAGGATTATAGGGCCAAAGGAAGTAAAGTTTTACATTTTATTTTATTTTTTTCTTTATTGCCGGGGCAGGGGGTGGGGGCATACACCTCCACAGAAAGAGAAAGAGGAGACAAAAGGAGAAAGAAAAAAAGCACCCTCTGCCCCACAATGGGGCACGATCATGCTGCAATCCCTTTTCCATTTCTCCAGCCTGTTGGAGTTTGGGGCACACATGCATTTATGTCCAGGGTGTTTTCCAAGTTGCTGGGGCTGGGATTTGAACTGTGTCCTGCCATGTGGGGTCAGCTTCCTTAACTACTGTGCTATGGGGCTGCCTTGGGAATGGGCTTTTAAAGGCTCTCAATAGATAGGCTCGCTCTCCAGAAAGGCTGAATCATCCACATTCTCCTTGGACAATTGGAGAAACTGAGGCTCAGAGGAGGTAACAGTTTGTTCAAGATCTTCAGAGTCAGCTCCAGGCAGTGTCAGCCTGCTGCCCATCCGGGGTCTTGGCAAGGGCTGGGAGGGGGGTGGTAGGAGAGTCCCTGTTCCCTAGCCCTCCCCTGACCCTTACCTCAGAGTCCAGGGACAGTCTACTGCCTGGAAGATCACTGAATGCACTCATGTGATTGTACAGTGGGGGAAACTGAGGCCTAAAGAGGGGTGGGACTTGCTTATGATAACTACCCATGAAAAATGTTCTGGTCCCAGATGTCTTGAGTGTGACCACTGTTGGTGGGGAGCTCTCCAGGACAGCAACTGACAGCAGCCCCCACCCCTCCATCCAGTGTGACCACCTGAGCCTTGAGCACATTCTTTGTGAACTATCCTCAGATTTCATGAGACTATGAGGGCAGGCCAGGGTCTCCTGGCTGAAGGGGCTGTGGGTCTCCAGGTGGACCACCCCTTGCAGCTTCTCAACAGGATAGGAACCCGTTCTCTGCTAGATGGTGAGCTCACTCATGGGACAGAGTGGCCAACGTGATCCAGTCAGGCCCAAGTCCTGTCCCAGATCTATCTGCATCTTGCTGTGTGACCTTGAAAAGGTGAGTGAGCCTCTCTGAGCCTTGGTCTCATCAGGCTGTCCTCAATGTGTGTTTGGCACTGTCACGTGGCCATGGATTACTCCTGTGCTTTTCTGGGCTCAGTTTCCTCCTCTGTACAGGATGGGGGTGAGCCCTATGGTCTTGCATGCAAGCACGCTTCTGGTTCAGC